ACTGAGAGGTACAACACTGCACTGCTTAATGAAATTACAGTTCAAGGAGAGTGTCAAGCCCAAGATGGTACACATGGTGCCACCAAACTTCATCAATGGGCTTGAGGCAGCCTNTGAGGCGGTTGCCAACCCAAACCCCCGGAAGAGGAAGAACAGCTGGGATAGCCAAGAAGGAGATGGGGACGACGGTGAACGTGATGGCACCAAGGCTGCATCAGGAAGTGGGACTTCACAGGGTGTGCAGCGTGCCAAGAGGTACATCCTGGAGAAGTTGTACAAGTTCTTCGATCCAGTCCTGAAGGACTTCAATTCAGCATCCAAGATCTACTTGGAAGTGGTAAGTTAGGGGCAGGGTTGAATTATTCATATTTGAAAGACTGTCACTCAATACTCATGGGTGCTCATGCTTGATTACAGACCGAAAAGGAGATTGAGGACTTCATGGTTACGCTGGGTGGGCGAGACAGAACCGTGGCTGGCTTCCACTTGGACTCTGAAGCAACCGACCAGGACATACACGCACGTGTCCGGAAGTCCCTGGTTGAGAGATGGAACAACCGCAAGAAGTGGATTGGAAATCTACAGCAGCAGGCCAATGTGGAGGGCGAGTACTAAGAGTACTTTGGAAATTATATTTTGAAATTGTTTTGGGTTGGGGGGATTCAATGTCCTGCTACTGTGTATGCTGCAAATCCATTCTAGCCCTAATTTGTAAATGCAGAGATAAGAGGAGAGACGTAGTTATAGTTTGGGGTTATTGGATTTTCAAAACCCTAGTATTGAAACCTCAAATATGCATACCATGAAACATACATGCCTGCATACATCAAACATGCAGCTGAAGACCTTACTAACCATTACATATGTGCATGCCTTGCCAGCAGATGCTTTGAGATTCAACTCCTTTGGAGCTGACGAAGAGGAGTTTGAGAAGTACCAATCTTCACAGTCGCACCTGGAATACTTGCAGAAGAGCTTAGGGCCTCTAAACAATGAAGATGACAAGTTCGTCTTCATTGTCGAGGGCAAGGACAGTCCTGTGCTCTTAGCTGGCGGTGTGGTCTTTGGCAGTCTTGTAAGTTAATTAGGCTTGATGTTTCTTCACAAGAATGGCCATGTTGTCATCTGCAGCCGCCTCACAACATACAATTAATGTAAGCATGTGTGGCATACATTGCACCTACAATGCAGTGCAACCATGAACTGCTTGAAATTAATGTCTTTGCCTGCTGGATTATAGATTTTATGCTACTGCTAATAATATAATAATCATGTTTCTTTTCATACATGTCCACAACATTGAATAAGCACTGGTCGGTCCCTCCATATTCACCATGCAGGAAAACATCATGCACGCCACCGACAAGGTGTCCGTCTTCATTATGCACAGGGTGAACAACAGCAAGAAGACCTCCATGGTATTGCCCAGTGGTACCATTAAGGTTGGCAAGGAGCTAAAGAAGCACACGGTCGTAGAGCTTCCAGTGCAGAGCCTACTTGGCAGATTCAACAAGCAGCAGGTCAAGGAGTGGGCTTTCTCCCATGGCTGCACAAATGTTCTATGGAATGACTCCATGGTCCAGTACAAGGGCAAGCTGGCGTTGGTTGCTTAGACAGGTTCCTTGATGAGCAGGGATACAGAGAAAGTGGGCAGCTGCAGTCTAGGGCCATATATGTGGTTCAGTGGTGTGTAGTAGGTGTTCACTAGGAAAACAGGAAGCAGTGCAGTAGTAGTGTGGAACAGGTCACAGGTGAAGGTTGATGAAGAACATGTATGTATAATTGCATGCCAAGACAAGGTACTGATGTTGCTGTGATGATTTTGGTAGCAGCCTCCAGACTTGTAAAGAATAGAGACAATAGATGCCTGTACAGGTATAGGCCAGCTGGCTGTGCACTATACTGCACAATTCCACATGATGAGCAAGTGAGGTGACCAGGGCGACCCAGACTGTTGTGTATAATACATACTTATGGTTTAGGGTTTTAGGGTTTTAGGGTTTTAGGCAGGGTTTAGGGTTTTAGGGTTTTAGGGTTTCTAAGGTTTTAGGGTTTTAGGGTTTTTAAAATAGGCAGGCGGCTGGCAGAGGTTAAGGCCTGACTTCTGCTCCCAGTTGACCCAGTCGACCCGGGTTCAAATCCGCCTGCCGGCTCCTCGGGTGTTTGAGGAGTGATGAAATGGGAGGTGGCCCCCCATCTTATGGACGGTGTAGGACGTGATAATATCAACTTGCGAGCTGACCAGGAACTAAGTTGATGCGCCGTTGATCCGCTAGATTTGGTTGGATGCTGGTGGTGAGTTGCCGAACCCAACGAATACATTCTGAAGTCGGATGGGGTGACGGATTAGGGTGCCCCTCTAGCAGGGGAGAGCAGGGACTGCCCCGGGAAAGGGGGCCGCTGGCGAAGTTAACCACCCTGTAACAACATACATACTTATGTATATAATTCCTGACGAATGTGGTTTTGTGCCTACCCATGCAGTACAAGCTTCTATCCCCAATGATGGCAAATAGATGCTGATGGCATGAATTATGAAGTCAGACAGCTTTTCAAAAAAAAGGGAATGTGTGATTTAACAGTGGACAGGGATCATGTAAAAGCTCATAACATTTACAGCGTCTGAACCTCAAAACAGCAATTAAAATCCTTAAACAGCAGTTCAGCAAATTATCTAATGGCAACAGCCAGTAACATGATGGAACTTCCTTTCAGCATGTCCCTGCTCGTAACAGCTTTCAAGGCCTGTTAGCAACTACAGCCCTTGGCACCGCTTAACAGCTTAAGTGAATTGAACGATTGCTAACAATTACCTTCCCAAAACCCTAACAGCCGTCAAAAATTCTTTCTCAGCATCTGGGTGACCCAACCAGAATGTAACATCCTGTCAACAATATCCTGTTGTGGCAGAAAGCGCTCTGTTACAGGTCCTTACAGCTGCTAACAGTCCCTAGAATCAGACAACTGTTAACAGTGTGGGCTCCAGGTACATGTCAGTCACAGGGCCTAACAGGACCAAACAGCCTCTAACCCAGTGTCTAACTGGCTGTTATGCCACGTTGACAACTATCGTCAGCAGCTGATAATGAGCCCGGCTGACAGCCCCGCCTAAGAAGTTAGCCGCTGTTAGACCCCCTATGAGTTGGTAGGGCCTTGGTCCACCGCAGCTAGCCTAGCTAGGCCTATAGGCCACTGTTGCTGCTGTTGTTGTTGCTGCTGTTGCTCCTCGAGCTGATCCTCCTGCTTGTGATAATGATTTGGAAGATGGGGGGTCGCTGATATCCGAGAGCTATAACCAGACAATGGACTGCTGCGGTCCGCGCGCCAGCGAGGCAAGGGCAACATCACCATCCCGAGCATCAGCAGCGGCTGCGACAGTGAACTCAGCCCGAGGAGCAGTCGGTAGCTGCAAACAACGGCCGCGTCCGCCTTCCTGTCCTGTCCTATCCAGTTCGGACTGCACCAGCTGCTGTTTGCATTGAAGCTGCTGAACTTGCTGCAGGACAGGCGGGTTGACCACGGCGCATGTGTGTTTGGGAACTTATGTGGAATGGAAAGGCAAGCAGGTTGCAGCGGCGGCACAATACAGCGCGCATACCATGCACGGTTGACAAGCTACAAGCCTGGTGCGGGGCCTGGTGGGTAGATGGGTAGGCCCAAACTAATTGCCGCAGACAGCCCTGAATAAATTATCCATATGGCATGAGGAAAAGTTACTATGCGCCTGTTGCTAGCATAAGATGAATTGTTAATTTGTTGCTTCCCTCTACAGGCGCTCGCAGCTACCCAAGCCTACAAAGCAAGCACCAAAATTAGTGCAGGATAACCCAAGATTCCTGGGGCGGTTTTCAGGCGCTACACATGAAACAGGCACGAAGCGTGGCTGCGGGCTAAACGACTGTATGACCATACGCAATACCGGCCCCTCCTTTGTCTGCAGCTTCCCAGCTATGTATGTCGAGCTTGTCTCACTCATCCGCCCCCTTTTCACTACTGACCAGGATCAACGCCAGCTCCTTGATTGCCTCCGCAGCCGCGGGCCGTCGGTCCGGATCCGTCTCCCAGCACGCTACCAGCAGACGACACAGCTTGAGTGGGCAGCGCTCCGAGACCAGGAGTTCATCCAGGGAAGGGCGCATACCGTTGAACGCTACCTGTATATGCAGACACATACTATGTGTATTTTTTCGGGCATTGAATGGGCGACATGTTCTGGAAATTAGGTGAATGGCATATAGGCCATCTGGCTCTCTACCTATTCTACGAAACTTAAAGGCTTAGGCATAAAGAGGAGCACACTCGTGGAACGGACCTATCTTAGGATCCCACTTATCCGCTTCGTCTGTATTTTTTCGGGCATTGTATAGGCGAGATATTCGGGAAAATAGGTGAAAGGTATATAGGCCAGTTAGGTGTACACGTATTATACGAGAAATAAAGGCCCAGACCTAAAGAGGGACATATGTACATGTTTGCCTAATAGAGGACCCTGTATATATGTAGAATACCTGACCTTCTTTATGCTATGCGGTATACTTCCAAGCTATACAGATATGTGTACACGTGATGTTGTAAACAACAGTGCCTATACAGGTGCGTGTGTACATGAGCGCCTATTACAAGACCGCTATAGGCATCACGTAATATGCAATGCCCTTTACATGACAGCCTATACCTGACCTTGTTTAGGCCGTGGTGTATACTTGCCAGGTATATGCATGCGTCTACACGTAATGTTGTAAACAACAGTGCCTACACAGGTGCGTGTGTACATGAGCGCCTATTACAAGACCGCATAACGTAATATGTGATGCCCTTTACATGACAGCCTATACCTGATCTTGTTTAGGCTATGTGGTGAACATGACTGGTATACAGATGTGTCTACATGTGATGTTGTAAACAACAGTGCCTATACAGGTGCGTGTGTACACGAATGCCTATTACAAGACTGCTATAGGCATCACATAATAGGCCTTCATGTTTACATGACAGCCTATACCTGACCTTGTTTAGGCTATGCTGTATACTTGCCAGGATGTTGTTTACATGTGTCATTTGTGTACAGAAATATATGGGATGCATAGAAGCTCAGGGGATTACAATTTTCACATATTCTTCATACGTTACTATCACACATCACACAAGGAATCTCAGCTCTCAGCCCACAATCCCTCAGTCTGCTTTACTAAATGAATAATCCACATGTTATCTGGCCTATTAATGCTGCAACTCCAAAACACAACCAAAACACTTAACAGAATAAATTCTCCGACACTATCAGCACAACACAAACAGTCATTTCCTACTCCCATGAGCCCCAATTGATCAATCCTCCTCTACCCGGTCGTTATTATCTAGGACGTCTTTGCTACGCCTCGTCTGATGAAACTTCATCTGTGTCATCATCTTTTGACCACACGCAACCAGACTCCCATTGCTCCCATTCCTCGATGGCCATAAGCTTGTCCAATAGTGCCCGTGCTTCTGATGGGCGCAAGCTTCGCTTTTCACTCTCTTGAGACTGCTGCCTGACTTCTTCAGCAATATCCTCCAACACGACTGGCAAAAGGCCATGGGGTGGGCTGCCGATGAGCTCGTTGAGCACAAATTGTGCTGTGGGAACTGCATTGTCCATGGACTCTTCCACATCATCCATGCTTCTGCTGGAGGAACCACGTGTACGTTTGACTTTAACTTGGGAGATCCGAACAATGCACACTCTCTCGATAATGGACTCAAACGGGATACACCCATAAGCTGCTGCTGGTTTTCCAGTCACCCTGGAAGTGGAGGTTGTGTGGACAATCAATGGTTAGTGTTAGTGCAAGAGAGGGAGGTATACAACTGAAATTACGACTGTGTGTAAACTACTTTTATTACCTCTGCCATCGCAGCGGACGGAGATTCAGTTCACGGTTCCATTCATCTTCTGGAGCATCAAACCACTTAACATACACCACATCTGCTACCTTGTCTTTGTAGAGCACGCTGAGCAGTAGCTGCACCTGCACACAAGGGCCATGCACATATGAGCAAACTCCAGAGAACTGAAGTACATACACACAACGAATGGAAACCAAACCTCCATTTGCCTACCCGTCCGTACCACACACCATAGCCCCCTGGGGTGTCGTTGTTCAGGATTGAAATGTCGCACACTGGGCATGCCTGGGTCTTGAAAAGGGACTTAGCCAGGCCGCCACCACGGATGTAAGTGACGGTGTGAAGTGGGGCGTAGTAAAGACATCCCATACGCCTGATGACAACCTACAAGTGTGAAGTTCACATGCATAGCATAGTCAACAACTAGCTTAATTATCACTGCTAAACCTGCTAGTACTGTATCATTAACCTATGTAACCAGCGAGCCTACCTTGGCATGATCCAGATCCTGTGCAGACACCCCCCAGGCAGCCACCAGCTGCTCTGTAAGGCACTGCTGCAGGTACTTTGCACCCTCCATGCCCCAGGCTGCTTCATCTGTTTGCAAAAAAATGCAAGACATGCATACAGTGTGATGCCATTGGGTCAACATTTTGGGAAAATACAAGCTTGCATACACTGACCTTGCAGATTCTTAACCTTTTCCATGGCCTGTATCCAAGGAAGGCTGAGACCTGACCGGCCGATGGCATGTTTCTTGTCCCTTAGTACCTGTGCTCTCTGGTACACAGGTACGTTGATACGTGCAACGTGGGTTAGGCGTGTAGCGGCATATAAAATCTTAGATGGTTACAGCAACATCTGCAGCACATACATAGCTTCAAGCACACATACCAGGCGCGAAGCTTAAAGGCTAGCTTGGATGAATCACAGCTATAGTGGGAGGCTGGGCACGAGCTGCATTGCTGCTCTGAGGATGATGCAGCTGCAGCTACAGCAGGTTGCTCTTGTCTGCATTAGCCCAACTCTGCATGTGCTAGCTCCTCCTGCTTGGAAGGAGTCTTATCTGCAGCTGCCTCTGCTTGCTGCTGCTCAGAAGCACTG